TAGTTGGGAACCCTACAGAAGAGAATTCTGACGTGAATTCTCTAGTTTGAGTAAGTGGGTTAATTTACATTCCTTTTGTAGGATTCATAAACATCGGCTTGGTGCCTTTTTCCTTTCACAATCATTTGTATTTCAAGTGATTTGTATTATCATGCCACCTTTTCACATACAGCATAAAGATTTGGGGAAAAATTGTTTCCTAGCTTGCTTAAATACATCGAAACTATTTTGTTACACTGACTCCAGGAGTTTTCCTTCAAGTATGCATTTATAGGGCACTTAAGTGTAAGGCACTGTTCTGAACACAGGGGACACCGAGATCAAAGACACCCTCCTTGACCTCCATGCTTCTCTGGGCCAATGCTCTTCTCTTTTTCCACCTTTATGAGAGCGTAGACCCAGGCCAATTCCAACTTTTCAAAGCAAGTTAAGACCAGGCTGTAACATATAATTAGAGTTTATTGAAGGCTTCAGGATAGTAAAATGGAATTACAATGCAATAAAGGAAAACTTTAAACTGGCTGGTAAATGTGACTCCTCCTGAATGTCATAGGCAGTCCTTACCCACCCACTCCTTTTGGTCCCCGACTTCCTACCACATTTTAGAAGCAGCTTACTCTGCTTAACAGGAATGCCCATGACCAAGAACAGCATCCCCCAGAGCTCAGGCTCCCCGAATCCTCCTAGGACCAGTGAGAAGAGGAACCTGCCTCCCCCTAGCTCCAGCCTAAGGCTACTTTCCCAGGAAATATCATAATCTACAGAGAAACAACTCCACCCACAAGGATGACCTTCTGACACTGCTAAGCAGAGCAGTTTAGCTCTGCATGGTATTGCACCTCTCCACTGCTGAATTGCATCTTGACTTTTCCTTTCTGCAAAGTCCACATTGCGTTTTTTTTTGGCTTTTTTTAAGTCAGATTTATTGAGGTTTTAAACACATATTGTAAAATTCACCCATTTTAGTGTACACTTCCATGAGTTTTCACAAACACAGTCATGTTACCACCACCACAATCAAGAGGTAGAGTAGTTTCTTCACCCAAAAAATCCCTCCTGTCCTGTCATAGTCAACCCCCTCACACACTCAGCCTCAGGCAACCACTGATCTGTTTTCTGTATCTATAGTTTTGCCTGTTCCAGAATGTCATTTAAATGGAATCATTCAGCAGGTAGCCTTTCTCTCACTTGGCATAATGCAAGTGAGATTCATCTATGTTGTTGAGTATATTAAAAGTTTGTCCCTTTATTATTGCTAAGTAGTTTTCCACTGTATGAATGTACTACAGTTGATTTATCCATTCACCAGTTGAAGAACATTTGAGTCATTTTCATTTTTCATGATTATGAACACAGCCACTATAACATTTGCATACAGGTCTCTGAATGAACATAAGTTTCCACTTATCTTGGGCAAATATCTAAGAACAGGACTGCTAGGTTGTATGATAAGTGAATGCTTAACATTATACACAACAGTAAACTGTTTTTCAGAGTGGCTGTACCATTTTGCATTCCTACCAACAATGTATGAGAGTTCTAACTGGTCTATATTGTCACCAACACTTGGTGTTGCCAATTTTTGTGGGTTTTTAAAAAATTCGTATTCATTCTAATAGACATGAAATACCCCAGTGTGGCTTAAATTTTCATTTTCCTAATGACTCATGATGTTGAGCATCTTTTCATGTGCTTATCTGCCATCAATATCTCTTTTTGGCGAATTGCCTATTCAATTCTTTTTGCCCATTTATTTATTGAGTTGTTTGCTTTATTATTGGGCTTTGAGGATTCTTTACATAGTCTAGATCCAAGTCCTTTATCAGAAATGTGTTTTGCAAATATGTTCTCCCAAGTGTGTAGTTTGTCTTTTCATTTTCTTAAATAGTTTCTGTCTTAGCCAGTTTGGGCTGCTGTAACAAAATACCATAGACAGAGTGGCTTAAACAACAGGACATTTATTTTTCCCAGTTCTGGAAGCCAAAAGTCCAAGATCAAGGTGCCAGCAGATTCAGTTCCTGATGAGAGCCTCTTCCTGGCATGCAGATGGCCACCTTCTCACTTATGTCCTCACATGTTGGAGAGAGAGAGATCATGCTCTCTGGTTTCTTCTAATAAAGGCACTAATCCCATCATGAGGATCCCACCTTCATGACCTCATCTAAATTTAATTACCTCTCAAAGGCCCACCTTCAAATACACCGGGGGTTAGGGCTTCAACATGTAAATTTTGGAGGGGATACCATTCATTCCGGAGGGGATACCATTCATTCCATAGCAGTATCTGTCAAAGAGAGTAAGTTCTTAATTTTGATGAAGTCCAAATTATCAATTTTTCTTTTATGGACCATGCCTTTGGTGTCATATCTAAGAAATATATGCCCAACTCAAGATCACAAAGATTTTCTCTTATGTTTTCTTCTAGACAATTTACACATTTAATGTTTTTATTTAGGTCTACAATCCATTTTGAGTTATTATATACGGTGCTAGATATAGATCAAGCCTCTTTTATATATATATATTTGTATGCCAAATTGTTGCAGCACCATTTGTTTAAAAAGACTATCTCCTCTCCATTGAATTGCCTTTGTAAAATTTTCAAAAATTAATTAATCACAAATACATAGGTCTATTTCTGGTTTCTCTATCCTGTTTCATTGACCTATGTGTTTATGCTCTTAACAATATCACACTGTCTTGATTACTGTGGCTTTATCCTAAGCCTTGAAATCAAGTGGTAAGAATCCTCCAAATTTCTTCTTTTTAAAAATTGTTTTGATTATTCTAGTCCTTTGCATTTCCATATAAATTTTAGAATCAGTCTGTCAATTTCTACTGAAAAAAAATGCTTCTGGTATTTTGATTGGGATTTCATTAAATCTATATAAATCAATTTGAAAAGAACTGACATCTTAACAATACAGCATCTTCTGATCCATGATCATGGTATTCACCACCTTTTATTTAAATTTTCTTTAACTTCCCTCAGTAAAATTTAATAGTTTTCAGTGTACAAGTCTTGCACATCTTTTGCTAAATTTATCCCTAAGTATTTTATATTTTCCATTTTTCATGGTATTGTTTTAAAATTCAATTTCTGATTGTTCAATACTAGTATATAACTGACTTTGTATATTGACCTTGAATCCTATGAACTTGCTAAACTCACTTATTTGTTCTAATAGCTTTTTTGTGGATTCCTTAGGATTATCTGTGAATAAAGACGGCTACTTCTTCCTTTCCAATTTAACTATCTTTTACTGATTTTTCTTGATTTTATTGGTTGCATTAGATAGAACCTCCAGCAATTTTATGACTAAAAGTGCTGAGAGTGGATATCCTTGCTTCTCTCAAATTTTAGTCTTTCAGCATGGTATTAGTTTGCTAGGGCTGCCATAACAAAGTGCCACAGACTAGGTGGCTTAAACAATAGAAATCTATTTTCTCACAATGCTGGAGTCTAGAAGTCTAACATCAAGGTGTCAGCGGGTTGGTTTTTTTCTCAGGCCTCCCTTCTTGGCTTGCAGATGCCTGCCTTCTCCCCATGTCTTCACATGATCTTCCCTCTGTGTCTGTGTCCTAATCTCCTCTTCTTTAAGGACACCAGTCATATTGGATTAGGACCCACTCTAATGAACTCATTTTAAGTTAATTACTTCTCTGTAGACCCTATCTACAAAAACAGTCACATTCTGAGGTATTAGCGGTTAGGACTTTAACACACGGATTTTTTGAGGAGGGCGGGGGGGAAACAATTCAGCCCACAACAATCAAATATGATGTTGTTAGCTGTATGTCTTTGTAGATACCCTATATAAGGTTGTTAAAATTCTCTTTTATTTCTAGTTTGCTTAAACTTTTTTAAAAATCATGGATGAGTATTAAATTTTGTCAAATTTTTTCTGCACTTATTAAGATGATTACGTGTTTCCTTTTCCATCTGCCAATATGGTGAATTACACTGACTGATTTTTCAAATTTTAAGCCAACCTTGTATTTCTGGGAATAACTCAGTCATGATACATTACCCTTTTTATATGCTGCCAATTTTTATTTGGGAAAATATTATAGAATACCTTTGTGGTGCACAATACACTGAACGAGGTGTGTGTGTGGATGGAAGGAGAGACGCCATCAAAAAGCTTAATCAATCTTCACTTACTATAACATGCAGAATAAGCATATTATTTCAAAATACGTAGACAAATAGAAATAACAGTTCAAAGAATTAAATGTGACTGGAAGCAGCACTAGAGGGTAAGGTTGTTCCTGTTGCAGTTTTTGTACCACTTGACTTTTTAAACTACGTGAACATTACTTCGGTATAAGTAAAGCTTAATTTAATTTTTAAAAAAAAGTAAACCCTCCCCATCCAGAAGCTAGTATTTGTTTTTAGCTTGTTTAAATTACAACTCTTTGATTCACCTGGGTGTTTTTGTTGTTGCACAGTGTGCAAACAACTGAAAGTGTCTGTTTTTCCTCCCGAATAGGTAACTACCTCGCACCACAATTTATTGGTTAGTCCTTTTTTCCCATGATTTGTGAACACTGTGTTATCTATACTAGAATGTTTCTACACTATCTGTCCTTGCCCTGGTACCACACTGATTTGAGTTACAGTGAAAATGAGTTTACCATGGTGGAGAAGCTCATTCAAAAAGAACAGGCTGTGCAAAGGCACAGAGGTTTACGAAAGCAGGTGGCTGGTAAATACACAGTTGGGAGGAATCTGAGCGACAAATAATGAATGCCGAAAGCGCAACAGTAAATGGCATTAGTTAAACCAAACCCCATGACTCGCAGCCCTTCGGAGGAAACACGACGCCTCACACGCTGAAACTCTAGGAAAAGTAGAGACACCAAGCACGAACCTTACGCCGGGGTATGCCGATAGACTCCGCTTTGATTTCGGGCGCCCGCGCCGGCTCAGGGACAGATTGGTTGTGGCGCAGGGCGCGGGGCGAACGTCACTTCCGGCTGCGGCTCCCCGCGTCCTTCCGCGCCATGACAGCCAGCGCGGCGCCGCGGGGCCGGCGGCCCGGAGTTGGCGTAGGAGTCGTGGTGACTAGCTGCAGGCATCCTCGTTGTGTCCTCCTGGGCAAGAGGAAAGGGTCGTTTGGAGCCGGCAGCTTCCAACTTCCTGGGGGTCATTTGGAGTTCGGGTGAGCAGCCTCCTGGCGACCTACGAAAAGCGGAACATGAACGGAAAGGAGGAGCTCGCGACGTGCGTGCGTCCGTGCGTGCGCGCCGACGCTGCGTCGTTTCTCGCGCGTCGCTCTTCCTCCCTTGCGGCCCCTACGCCGCGAGGGGGCGCTGAGCAGTGTAAGGTTGGAAGCGGGTGCTCGGTCGTGAGGGCTCTGCGCCCGCTTGGCCGAGGCTGCGAGTTGGTTTCTGAGATGTTTTTTCCCTTAGTATTTACACATAAGAGATGGAAAGTGGGTGTTATAACCCTCGAGCAGTCCAGTTTTGTCAGTGAAGACGTTTGCACGGTTTGTCTGTGATTTAAACGTAGACACATATTTACTGTTTCCTGCCCGCGTAGGTTTAGTTGCACTCCACCCAAACAAATGGGCTAATGAAACTCTCTGGGCCTCAGTTTCCCCATCTTTAAAACGGGGAAGTAGGACGAAGTGCTCTTTAAGGTCCCTCTGTGCTTTGGCATTCTGTGATTTGATGATGTATCAGACCCACAAAGACAGCTGGGCCGTTGAGAGCCAGTTCTACACAAGGGTGAAGAAAGCCTGGGATTGTGCTAGAAGGTGGGTTCTGAACTAAGAATAAGAGTAAAGTCAACAGCGGATAAACAGCATCTAAAGCGTTCAGACCCAGCTCTTTTTTTCCGTTTAGTATAGAAAGTTTCAAACTTACAGCAAGGTAGAGAAAACAGTCAGTGAATCCACATGTACCCATTACTCAGCTTGTTCTTGTTTCATCTTCACTGCTCCTCCGCCCGCGACAGGCGCGCGCCTGCGCACACACCCCTTGTTTTTCTAGACTAGAAGGAAAACTCGGACGTCCTTTTATACCTCCCCTAGATAGTTCAGTATGTATCTGTAATAGGCTGTTTAAAAAACGTTAACCACAATACCATTTTCACATCTTAACGAAATAATTCTTTAATAGCATCTGATACCCAGTTTGCACCATTTTCCCCATTTGTCTTGAAAATGTCTTTTTACTGTTTTTGTACCAATCAGGACTCAAAGGAAGGGCACATATTGCATGTGGTTGATAAATTTTTTAAGTCTCTCAATCCAACAGTAACGCCTTCCCCTTTGTCCCATGCCATGTTGAAGAATATGAGTCATTTGAAGAATTTCTCACATTCTGACTTTGTTCTTCTAATCCACCTATTTCTTATAAAGTGGTAGTTAGAAGTAGAGCCTTGATCCTAGTGCCTTTTAATCAGACTTTGTCCTTTATAAGATATGGAATTCTTATGATCTTTTTAACACATGGAATTTTTTAAATGGTCTTCAGAATTTTAAAAAGCGTGAATAAGTTTATCATTTTTAGATGATTAAGATAAGCCACCTGTTAATAAATAATAAAATTTCTAGATTAGGAATCAAATTGCCCAGACAGGCACACGGTCTTACACTTTGTCAGTTGTTGGTGGGCATTAGCCAAATTTGGATCACAAACTAAGCACTAGTTAGAATGTATCATTACTAGAGCCATAGCTAGAGATAGGTATCTTAACAATAACATAAGAAAGGATGGAGTCTTGACTCAGATATCAAATGATAATAAATTGAACTTTAATGAGTATTTTTTTTTGTGAGGAAGATCAGCCCTGAGCTAACATCTGTTGCCAATCCTCTTTTTGCTGAGGAAGACTGGCGCTGGGCTGACATCCACGCCCATCTTCCTCTACTTTATATGGGACGCCACTACAGCATGGCTTGACAAGCGGTGCGTCGGTGCACGCCTGGCACCTGAACCTGCGAACCCCAGGCCACGGAAGCGGAGCGCGCGTACTTAACCGCTGCGCCACCGGGCTGGCCCCTTTAATGAACTTTTTACTAAGTGCTGGATATTATACCAAGCTCTTCACATGTATGCTTTTACTTGTGGGCTATGCTGAGTGGGCTAAATTTGATGGAAAACATACAAAATGGCTTGTATAATCTCCTTCCATTGTCTTCAATCATGATTTGTCTTTCCGTTTTCTGCTGCTCCATGACATTTCCTGCAAATTCTATCGTTTCCCTGTCGATTATAAAAATAAGTCACATTGTGGTCATTAGGGTCCACTTCCAAGCGTTTCCCTCTCCCCTGTAGTGGGGAAAGGAGGTGTGGGCCATTGTTTTGCTCTTTCTCCACCTCCCCCTCTTCTCACTGTTTCTGGTTTCCTTCCTTCTCCAGTGTGTTGGGGAAGGAGTGATAGGGCACACCTTTTCTATGACTAGTGCTGCTGTGATCCATCCGTTGGTGCCCTCTGGTTGTGGGGTTCACACATGTGCTCTCTTTCTCAGGGTATGTTTGTTGGTTGTTTGGAAGTCCTACAAGCTTTTCTACACTGCACGGTTCTCTGACAAAGGTGACTGACTTACTGTGACACTGACCCTCCTCCCCTAGCTCTTGCGTTTAGCTCACCATCCTACATTTTTTTTTCTTTGGGGTCCCCAGCAATCTCTTGTTTAATAACAACTGCCCAAAGGAAATTCACAGTGGAAATAAAGCTTTCACTGCTGCCATTTTTCCTTGCTCAACCATCGTGGCTGCTCTAGCCAGTCTCCTGCCTTCCAAATTCCCAATGTGGGAATAAGCGTCATCCTCTGTATTCACATGCATACCTAAACACCAAGAGAATGTTTCAGACTTACCCAAGAGCTCTTACCCTCCTACCACTTCTGCTCTGATGCATAGGGTAGGCCTGTGTGTTTCCGCAGCTCAGTATGTCTTTAGCAGGGGAGAAACACACCAGTATCTCCTTCGTGGAAGTCACACCTCATCTCTATGACTAATTCTCTTGGAGCACTACTTTCCTGGTTTGGGGGCAGAGTTGGCCCCTCATCAGGAGGAAGGGAAACTTTCCTACTAGGCTGAAAACTCACAACTTTCCTCCCTCCCAAAGATCTCCTGTCTTTCTTCTGTAGACTGGGTAGATGAGGGTCAAAAGTCTACTCTGGCTTTTCTTAAGCAAACCCGTGAGTTTAGATGGCATCTGTTTGCTCTTTTGCTGTACTCTTTAGAATTTAGAGGTGCTTATTGCCTATTGTCCTCAATTTGGGGGCTCAAACTAAAATTCTGAGACTACAGGAAAAGACATCATCCATTTCTTGATGCACTTACAACAACCCCAACTTGGAACTCAAACCTAGATTGAGTTGACTCCCAAGCCTGTGCTCTTAACTGATATACTTGCCTCCTGGTCACATACTGCTCCCAGGCGTGTGAACTAGTGCTGAATTGGCCAAATGTTCATTTTTTAATTCAACATGAAGTCCTTTTGGTCTTCAGATAACTGGACACAGGATAAACAGAGTGTCAAAGACAGAGTTGTTCATTTATTGTTTTAAAACATGAACCAATTATAGTTCTTTTTACTTTATACCAGAAATTTCTAGCCAAGAATTTCATGGCAAAAAAAAATTTACATAAATGGAATTGAATATAATGGTGTGTTTCTGTTTTCCAGTGAAAGCTGGGAAGAATGTGCTCAAAGGGAAACCTGGGAAGAAGCAGCTCTTCACCTGAAAAATGTCCGCTTTGCCTCGGTTGTGAATTCTTTCGTTGAGAAAGAGAATTACCATTATGTCACTATATTAATGAAAGGAGAGGTGGATGTGACTCATGATTCAGAACCAAAGAATGTAGAGCCTGAGAAAAACGAAAGTAAGAGAATTATATATAATAATGCATTCTTTGAGGAGAGCATATTGTCTGAAAGAGTATGACATTATGTCACCATATGAAGAGAATTCGAATCTCTTCCTATAGAAATGTAAATGTACTTAAATCCTGGCGACACAAGGACATAGCAGAGAGAGAACTGGCTCTGGAGCCAGACTACGTGGTTCACGTCCTGGTGCTTCCACTTAGAGGTCTGTAACCTTTAGCAAGTTAGTTAATAACGCTGGGCCTCTTTTCTCATCTGTGGTAATAGTAACTACCTCAGATGGGTTGTTGTAAGGATAAAATGAGTTAATACATATGAAGAACCCATTGAACACAGTAAGTACTCAGTGTAAATGTTAGTTTTATTGTTAGCATTTAGTTTTGTTTCAAACTGTGATTTTTAAGGAAAACGTTTACTGAGCCTTCCTCAGTTTCCTCACCTGTGTAAGAGAGGTAATAACTTCCTTTTATAGAGTGCTTAACCTGACTAAACAGTGATCTGTTACCTTCTGTGTTGAACTGAGTGCTCTGAAAGCTTTAATGACAGTAACTGATATTATTTGCTGCATGCTAAGCATTGTTCTAAGGGCTTTGCATGTATCATCTCTCTTCAAATTTCATAAAACTCCATGAGAAAAGGAACTAAAGAGAAAAATATCAAACTTATTGAATATATTATTTGCCATATGAAACCTTATCCAGGTAGTCTCATGGATTGGGCCTCCCATCTCGAAATTTAATTTCTCCTCTAATATGGAAGAATCTTTTCATTCAGCAAATACTTATTCAGTACAGTGTGTCAGACAGTGTTCTAGGCATTAAAGAAACAGGTGTATGGAACAAAGTCCCTGCCCTCCTAGACTTTACATTTTTGGGGGGAGAAAGGCAACAAATTAGCAGATATTTTACAATAGCAATGATAAGGAATAAGAAGAAAAGTAAAGCTGGGTAAGGATAGTGGTGCGTGGGTGCTGTGCTCAGGGAGGGCCTCTGACAAGGGGACTTACATGCAGAGGCCTGGAGGAAGTGATATTTCTAGAATGAATAAATCACATCTAAGGTGTTTACAGATTGATTTGATTGAATGAATAGAAGGGCATGTTTCACCTGGAGGCCTGTTGAGTCGTAGAAGATTTTTTATAAAATAGGTGACTACTTGGAATCATCTAAAATGAACTAGCAAAGCCAGAGCTGTTTTTACACACAACACTTCTGACACCAAATGTGTGGGTTTTTTCTCACACCAAATAATTCTCCACCTCTCCAGACATCAGTGGTGCCTTACAATTCAATTCAATTCTTCCAGAGTTAGCGTCAGATCCCAAAAGTTAGAAAGCTCGGTCCCGCAAGACTGCCTCCATTTCAAACACCAATCGTAAGTCCTGGCCTCCTGTACTTCTGACCGCCAGGCTATCAGGGGTTCCCACAACCCCCTCCTCAGGTTCGATAATTTGCTAGAATGGCCCATAGAACTCAGGAAAACACTTTGCTTATGTTACCAGTTTATTATAAAGGATACTCAGGAATAGCCAAATGGAAAAGATGCAGAAGGCAAGGTATGTGGAGCTGTCACGCCTTCTCCAAGCACCCCACCCTCCCAGCACCTCAGTGTGTTCAACTCTGAAGCTCTCTGAACCCAGTTGTGTAGGGTTTTTATGGAGGTTCCGTTACGTAGGAACCTGTAATTGATTAAATCATTGTCCATTGGTGATTTACTCAAACTACAGCCCCTCTCCCCTCCCCTAAGGTGGGGTGTGGGTGTGTGGGTCAGGGTGGGGCCTGAAAGTTCCAACCCTGTAATTGTGCCTTGATCTTTCTGGTGACCAGCCCCCTGAAGCTATCCTGAAGCTATCCTGAGGCTATCAATGGGCCCCCAGCAACCAGTCATCTCATTAACATAAACTCAGGTATGGTTAAAAGGGGCTTACTATGGATAACAAAAGATGCTCCTCTCATCTCTATCATTCAGGAAATTACAAAGGTTTTAGGAACTCTGTGCCAGGAAACAGAGATAAAGACCAAATATGTATTTCTTTTTTTTTTTTTCAATTCTATTTTTTTTTCTGCTGAGAAAGAGTCACCTTGAGCTAACATCTGTTGCCAATCTTCCTCTATTTTGTATGTGGGTCGCCATCACCGCATGGCTACCGACGAGTGGTGTAGGTCCGCGCCTGGGATCTGAATCCACAAACCCAGCAGCCAAAGCAGAGCACGCCGAACTTAACTGTTAGGCAGTGGGGCCAGCCCAAATATGTATTTCTTACATCACAATACCACACAAAGAGATACCCAAAAAGTATCCAAAGGCCTTCAGTTGGCCTAGGGTGCAACTAAAATTATTCATGCCTTAAGAAGTGGAAGGCAGGAGAGGTAGGTAAGAACTGTGCCAGGTTCATTGGGAGAGTTCTCTACAAGTCTCTCCTATCTCTCACATCCCTAATTATCCCAGAAAAAGTGAGGAATAGGAGAGAGGAGAGCTCCAGACAATAACTGGAAACAAAAATAATAGTCTTGACATTCTGAAGCTGGGGGGAGGAGCAGTTGATCACTTGGCTTTGTAATATTAAATTGAAGTTTAAATATGCATATTTCTATTTTAATACTTTTTGTAGGATTCAATTTATTTTTTTTCTTTACAAAGCAAAATATATTACATATAACTGAATTTTTAAAATTTAGTTTTGAGGTGTAGTTTATTCAGGCAATAAGCACAGATTGTTGTTATTTTAAAATAGAGCCCTAAACTTGAAAGGAGTGAACATTTTCTTATTTTTATCTTCTCTCTGGGCAAAAAAACCTGAGACAAGATGAGACAAACATGAGGAAATAGTTAAGTTTTTTGTACTTAGTATCCTTCACAAGAAGCACATAGAGAAAGCATTCATTTGTAGAGAAAGTGCTGAGGAGAAAACAGCAAAGTCACAGACTGTACCAAAGCCTTGATCTAACAGTCTCATTCACCGAGCCGGTTCTTTCTGTTTCTTCAGAACTCCTCCCGCCCTGTCTGGCCTCTGGAGGGATTTGAGTTGGTGAACCTGGTGCACTTCATGACGTCTCATCTTGCTCTTCTGAGCTGCAGGCCTGTATTTCTAGTTATCTTCCCCCTACTGTTCAGAAGGCACCTCAGATTCAGCTCCACAATTCAGCTTCAAATCATACTTACTGTCTTTCCTTTACTGAGCTTTGAATACGTAAGGAGCAGATATTTTGGCTCATTCATCTTTGAGTCTTCCATGCCTGACACTGTGCCTGGCTCATAATCAGTACTCAAAAGATGTTGGAGGAAGGAACCAGGGAATGAATATACAAGCAACCCTCTTGCTGTGAGGTTCTCAAATGTGGTATCTAAATCACCCTACTTTTTAATAACTTCTAAAAGATTATTCTTCTTCTTAATGAAGTTCTATATTAGAGTTTTTGTTACCATATTATTGTATGTATTGTTCTTTTCCTCCTAGAATATAGTCGTTTTGAGTAATTTTTACATACTTTGTGATTTTTTTTATTCACTTATATAACTTTTTTTGTTTGTCCACCTTCATTTTGTTGACCCTCCGACATACTAGTAATCTCAAATAAAGCAGTGTGATTTTACAAACCCCGAGGTTAAAGCCCCAAATCAGATTCGATCAGAAGCACTTATCTCTCTCTATCCCTTAGTAACAGTATAGCAGGAATTATTTTCACTTTTTTCCCAGTTGAGAGGCCTTGCTAGTAACCAGCTACAGCCTGGCCAAAGTGCAATGGCTCGGTGGGTCTTTGTTTTACTAACAATATTGAGATGCAGTCTCTGTCCCATGTTCATCAGGTCCTGGATCTGTATAGCCGGCTTCAGTTTACTAGTTACTACATCGTTCCTCCCACCATCTGATTATAATGATGAGGATCATCGCGATGCTTCATATTCTAGGAGACAGGGGATAAACTCGACAGACAGCTCTTGAGATTCAGTTAATGCAGCATCTTGCAGCACACCGTTGGACGCTCTCTCTCGCTCGCTCTCTCTTGCTCTCTTTCTCTCTCTCTCTCTTAATGCCTGGCCACAGTTACTGATCAGCCCTTCCTGAACTTGTTCCAATTTCATGGATTCTTTGTCCTCTGCCTTCCCGGAGTGAAACTACACACTTGTATTTCATAGGCATAGAAACACTTATAATGGAAGAAACAGTACTTACACATAGGTATATACATGTGATCATAAAGAAACTTGTTTAGAACGTGGAGTATACATCTTAATATAATATTTATATATTCACCTGTCATGAGCATCCGTGCTTTTGTGTTATATACATTTAAATTGTCAAAGAAAATACCATTCCCTAGAACATTTTTATAGGATTTCATGTATTTTACAACTAATAGACACTGTCAAATCTTTCCTGTTTCAATGGATTTTTTTAAAAATCAGCTCCCTCCGTATTTGTCTTTCTATCTAAAATATATCACAGCACAGAGAATATTTTTTATTCTCTGCACAGCTTCCATAACTATTATGAGAGATGGAGGATAGCTTAGAAATTTTGTAATCTACCTAATTTTATAGGTGAGAAAACTGGTTTATTTTAATGTAGTGTAACCTGTAGTATATAAAGTTCTGTGCATTTTGTTTAGCCAAATATTTAAATGAAAATTGAATGGTACTGTAGGGGAGGAAGACAATTCCTCTACTCTCTAGGTCCTTCTGGCTGGTCTACGAATTAAATTGACATGAGACAGAATAACAGGAGAAAATCAAACAAAGCTTTATAACGTGTATATGTGGGAGAAATCCAGGAAAGCTGAGTCACTTACAGAATGGCCAAAGCCACCACCTTAAATACATCTTCAGCTAAAGACAAAGGAGGATGTTGGTGGTCAAGGTTTGGGACTTCAAAGGGGAGGAAGGCAATTTGCACAGGAATGGAAATTAAATGTTTGTTAAACAAGTTTGCTGGGCCTCCATAGACAATGGGACCTGAAAGAAATCTTTTGATCAAGATGGGCTTAGCAAGGACCCTCACAGTCAGAGTTATCTATGGTGATGGCCTCTCCAGGGGACAGGCCTTCTATCTTAAATTCTTTTAGGCAATTGGGGGAAGGTCAAAGTTTGGTTTCAGAGTCTTTTGTTCTTAAAAATAATCAAGCCAAAGAGAGACATTTTGGGGTGGCCAGTTCTGATCCCCCACAGTACTAAGTCTGGGTTTTACCACAATGTGGCCCTTGGAAACTTGGCTTCTTGTTCAGATAATACCATGTTTTAAATGATCACCATTCTCTTCTTAAGATCTTCATTCTATAATTTTTTTTTTAATTTATTTTTTTTTTTTCCACCAAAGCCCCAGTAGATAGTTGTAAGTCATAGCTGCACATCCTTCTAGTTGCTGTATGTGGGACGTGGCCTCAGCATGGCCAGAGAAGCAGTGCGTCGGTGCACGCCCGGATCCGAACCTGGGCCGCCAGCAGCGGAGCGCACGCACTTAACCGCTAAGCCACGGGGCCGGCCCAAGATCTTCATTCTAAACACAAATTATGTTTGTGTAGCCAAGCTAATGCATAGCATCACTATTGCACTTTATTAGTAGCAAATCATTTTTACACGTAATTAATTTTTTCTAAGCATAGGTTAACTTGCCAAAATAAACATCCTTTGTTTCCTTTCAGCTAAATAAATTGATTTGGTATTTTTCTTTTCTAGGTTGGGAGTGGGTTCCTTGGGAAGAATTTCCTCCCCTGGACCAGCTTTTCTGGGCACTGCGTTGTTTAAAGGAACAAGGCTATGATCCATTTAAAGAAGATTTGGATCACCTGGTAGGATACAAAGGAAGTCATCTCTAGGTGAACAAGAAGATTCCCTGAATTTTTTTAAAAAGACAAAATAAGGTCCGGTTAGAGAATGAAAAATATTTACATTTCAGAACAACTCCGTTTTATCTAAAAAGTTCTGTATGATTGTCAGTTTATTTGCAGTCTCTTAATGTACCCACCACCTTTTCAGCCAGTACTTGTGAAGAATTTTCAGGATTATGTAATGAATTGTATTTCAGACTCAGAAAATGTGATAAATAGTAGTATTGTGGTAATTCTGCTTTCCATATTTCTCTATGATATTGACTGTGCAGTTCATCATTATCAGCTTACATGGAGCAGAGTGCAAGAGAATCTACCCTAGTGTTTCTGTTCCAATAGAGATCCTAATTCAAATGCTACCACAGTTTGCCTGTTGCAGAATTTATCGTTTGTTGGTTTTCCTCTTCTGTTTTATTTAAAAGAGGAATTTTTTGGTAATATATTGTGACAGTCCTTGCAACTAGAGCGAACAGGACAGGTCATTAGGGTATATTTCCTAGGTTTCTGATTGAGAACCTAAACCAAGAGAAGTGAGACACACCATCCAGGGTCTGTATCCCATCATTAACAGGCCGTGTACTTGTGGATTTCTTACCTAATCTCTGTGAGATCCAGCTTCCTTACATGTAAAATAAGATTAGACTTGGGCAGTGGTTTTCAAAGTGTGGTCTGGTATTTTTCGGTATGGATTTTTGTTATTTGTAAATGAATTAATAAAATAATTCTTAAAATTTCTCAGTTTTAATTTCTAGAGTCAGAAATAGAAACAGAGGAGTTGCCCTGGCTAAAGATGTATACCAAGTCCAAAACTAGGTAAGAAGCCAAAATCCAAATACCAGTTTACTAACGGTGTGGAATAACGAGGAGGACAGTTGTTGTGTTGGAGGGGAACTCGCTACATAACGTGTATGTGACATGTACCTTAAAATGCAATCTGTCTTTACAGAGATATATAATTATGTAGTTGCGCATAATTAAGAATACTTTTTTTTAGTTATATTACTTTTATTTATTTTTTTATTGAGGTACAATTGACATGTCACACTATATTAGTTTCAGATGTACAATGTAATGATTTGACATTTGTATATATTGCAAAATGATCACGGTAAATCTAGTTAACGTCCTTCACTTTTACAAGTATTCACAAAAGAATACTTAATTTTGAGTTATGTTTTGTTAGTAGGAATAAAGTGTATCAAATCAGTAGAATTAGAAAAACTCAACTCACATAGTAAGAAGTTTCAATCAACAAGACACTGTGATGCAGAGAAAGAGGCTGTTTAGATAAGATGTTCTTGCAACACCAAGAGAGGTAAGCCAGGAGCACAGCCAGAAGAGGGAGTCGTGGTCTGGCTAGGCCTGCCCTGGGGGAGTAGCTGGGTGGACTTCGGGAGGCACTTGTACAGAGGAAAATGATGAATATTATGAGGAAGGGCTTGAATTGTCCACAAAACAGGGATGCATTAAGGCTACTAGTTTGAGAACTGCTGGGCACACACCTGCCTTTTGTTTCTCCCTCTTCTGTGGTTGCCACCAATGAAAATAAACCAAGTGCTCTCGACCACATGTTGCTTCACATTGCTGCATGTGTCTGTCTTATCAGCGTTGCTACATAGAAGGAATCCTGGGCTGGAAGAGTTTTCCTTTTCTTAATGGCTTTTGAATAGGCTGTGATTATAAGTACCTATGGCAGCCCACTGCCTTCATTATGCTCCCTGCCCACGTCACCATCAAAGAGTTGAATTCAAATGGAAGCGAAAGAATAGGTGGTCAAGAGGCTCACTAACAAAAGATGCCACAGTGGGCGAGGGCCAAAGTGAGGGAGTAAAGAGGTGGGGGATGGTGTGAGGAGTTTGGAACCAAGGAAATGGGACTGGGTCAGTAGGTCAGGATAGCGGAGTGTCGTGAGGTCCTGAGTGGTCACCCTCACGCCCCAGCTACTACTGTGCGTGGATTTGCTTCCATGGGCCATCCCAGGCGAAGTGTGTGGGAGTCTGGCTGACTGACCCAAAGGGCTAGAAGTGTGGCAGCCAGGACCATAGTTTAAGAACCAGTGGTTAGAAGCATGGTGGAAACACCGCTAGCTCAGTAGCTAATTCTCCCCCTTAAGAGCTTGTCTTTTGTGGCATCTATCAAAACAGGCAAGCAATGGAGCCAATAAGTATTTATTAAGCAACCTGCTGTGCTAAATTAGAAGCTTTTTGAGTACCCTTAATGTCTAGCATAGTACCTGGCATATTAGTAGGGCTCCATTAATATTTGAATCAATTTGAAAGATAAAATTATGGAAACAAGATGATAGCCAACTAAAGTGATAGCATGTTTTTAAAATTAGATGTATAGTATTTATGTAGTATCTCAGTGAATTATTACAAAATGAGCACGCCTATGTAACCACCTAGATCAAGAAAGAACATTTCACAGCACCCCAAAAGTGCCCCCTCCCAAAGGTAACCACTATGACCACCATCTCATCATAGATTAGTTTGTTTTTGAATTTGCTAAGTAGAAGAATCATGCGGTATGCATTTTTGTGACTGGCATCTTTCAGTCAACATTGTTTTTGAGATATTTATCATGTTGTGTAGCTGTGGTTCATCACTTTTCATTGTGTGTAGTAGTCCATTGTTTAAATATACCAAAGTTTGTCTAATCTAATGCTGATGGTCATTGGGTTGTTTCTAGTTTGGGGCTGTTAGAAATAAAGCTGCTGTGAGCACGTGCACATGCTTTTTCTTCGGTGCACGTGTGTACTTGTTTCTGTTGGATATACACCTAGGAGTGAAGAGCCTGAGTCACAGAGTATACATATCTTTGCTAAAGAAATGTTAATGTGCTTAATTTATAAGGTGCCTCTTCAGACCTTACTGGGGGTATTATATAACATATGATATATAAATCTATTAACTTTCTAGAGTATTAAAAAAAAGTCCAAATCCTGAAATACATTTATACCCAAGAGTTTTGGATGAGGGGTTATAGACCTGTATATGTAAATGCAAAGTGAGCATGTTCACAGCAATTTGATTGCTTTGAGGTACATGTGAAATTCCTATTTGTGTTTCCAATTCATTGCCCCATGAGTGCCCATAGAGAAATCTATCTATCCCTTAGTCCTGTTTTTCTGTATGGCTTTATTTGTTGTTATATTCTCCCTCTATGTTGATTTATAAGTGAAAACACCCCCTTAGAGGGAAGAGGTGCTAAGATTCTTGGATAGTGAATGGCAGTGACTGGGAAGGATCCTTAAAGGCTTTATGGCCCTGGTGCTCAAACTTGGATGTGAAGGCCTCACACAGATTCCCATTCAGCAGGTACGGAGCAGGTTCTCGAATCTGCCTTCTAACAGCCACCCTGTTGATTTTGATACTCATGGTTTGTGGCCACACTTGGAGAAATGCTGCTTTCAAGATAGTTTGAAGTATAACCAATATGGCATTGTGCTTTGCACAAGTCTAACATTCTTAATATGGGTGTGTTTTTCCTAGAAGCAACTGTAAGTTACTAAAGCACATAATTTTAAACTTTGGACATTTTGAATGGAATCCTATTATAATAAATTTGACCAAATATCAACATTACTGTTTATACTTCCTCAAAATGAAGCCCTATTGTTACACAATAGAGAGAGACACAGTACTCTCTTTGTGTACAGAAAGCCTACCCAGGTTAGGAAAAAAATGAGCAGAGGGAATTTTGAAAAAGCTCATTCTTACAGTACTAAATAGTGATGCCTAAAGATGTTTTCCTACCAAACCTGCAGCTGTGTTTTCAATGACAGAGAAATGAGTAATGTTGGGTCGTTGACTTGATGGATAATTTTGTTGTGAGAAAATAAAGGCACTTTGTGAACCATAATATTGGACACATTTTCTGTTTTTCTTTCAGATAGACTTTCTGTTCTCAGATTTGCTGCACACAATAGCATCAAAGACTGGTTAGGCACATTCATTTTAATAAGTGCACAATGTAAATGAGTCTCAGGCTTTTCCTTTCAGTACTCCAGGATCAAAGAACAAACCTTTCAGTGTGGGAAAAACAGCAATCCAAAAGCGTGCCATTTCTTGTTTTGGTTTAAAAATTTATTTAAACTTTGGATTACACTTCATGAGAGATCCATGTGTTTGACTGTAACTTTTTTTGTCATAATATCTTTAATCATAATATCTTTAACCCTCATATATGTACTTATTTGTCTTTGAATACCCTTCTGGTCCCTACCACAACTCTTGGGAGGAATTTTTTACCTTTTTTTGAGAAGCAAGGGTCTGGCAATAAGTATTGAATTTGGAACTCTGTTCCTTATATTTTATTTCTTTATACTTACCACTGTCTGGATTTGTCTTATTCATATGGTTATGTGCCTGCCCCTCTGCCTCATAAAGTCTAGGAAGACAAGCTCTCGCTATCTTATTCATTGCTGTATCCTCAACACCTAGAAGGTGCTCAAACATATAAGGAAGGAAAGGAAAAGAAAGGACAGCGGAGGAGAAGGAAGGGGAGGGGAGATAGCTATGGGGGCAGTAGACCACATCGGGAACAGCAAATATTCTTTCTCTGACTCCAGATCAGCCTAGGAAGCTTTTTCAACACAGCGGCCAGCACTCATCAATGGGAGATGAGTCGTAATTGAAACCTATTCCGTATGATCTCTGATGCTAGTATTCCTTGATTCTATATATCAGAGGGAAGGTAGCTGAGACATTTAAAAGGGAGGTTTCAGCAAAAGATTTAGGGGATAGTATGCCTTATTTAAGGAAAGAATATAAGTACCCACTCTGTGTCAACAAAATTCCTTTAAATGGCTGTAAATTCATTTGCTACAAAGAAAATTATTTTCCCATACAAACATTATAATTAGGGAGACATATCATGACCAAAAATTTGGTCTCATAAAAATTGCTGAAAAAACTGTTAAAATGAAGATACAACAAAAATACTTGTTAATTGAAACATTGATTAACCAAGTTTAGTAAAATGGTCTTAAGTGTATTATATATATTGGTTATACAAGGGACCTTAATATGCAAATATATATACCAAATTAAATCT